AGGAATACTATAAACCCTTAATTTCATTGGTCAAATTAGATATCTTATATTATTAGAGTGTATCCTATATTACTATGTATAGTTAGTAGAATATAGTATTCCATTGGTTTCTATTTAGGATATATGTCAATAGTCAAATGGGGACTCTTTTCTAAGGTCCATTTTTTATGCCTATTAATCATAATGATGGGTCATTTCTTCTAGAAATCAAAATATACTATTTTCTATACAATCCTATTATAATTTTACTAGAGGGATCAATATTATGAGGTTACATAATATTTTATTATCAAAATATATATTTTGATATATACTTGTGGCACTCCTTATCCCATTTGTACCTCAATATAACTTAAATATGCATTTCCCTCTTAAGTTATTGCCCATTAGGTTTACTTATCATTACATAATATTAATGGGACCACTATTATTTTGGGGATAATATTTTTTATAGTTACAAGATGATAACATGGAGTTCTTATTTACCATCCTACATTTCTCCATATTCACTATACTAGCTAGAGAGATGTACTCTATTTTAATACTATAATGTTGACCTATTAAAAATAGGTATTATGCTTAACTACTAGTGTCATCCAACTATAACGAGTATCATCCATGCTTTTATATCAATGACTTAATTAGGATATTTAGCCATGCCTACCACTAGTGGCTTATAAACATGCCGACCTTAATAATTTGGATATAGGATAACCTATGACCCCCAATTTGTAGTGGTTCATAAATAGGTTAATCTTAGAGAGCTATTAATAGGATAAATTTATATCCTATTTAACCCTCAAACTTAAATAATAGGTACCAATATAAGGGATTCCTCTAGAGATATCCCTTAGTTATTTTAATACGAAGCCGATCGTAAAATAATTGGCCCTATTATTAAGTTGGAAAATATCCCTTGTAGATATTTATTGAGGATAACGGTTTAATTATAACCTCCAATTTTAATGAGTTGATATAGTATGTTATTATGAAATAAAGATCCTAAGTATAATCCTATTTGACACCTTCTCAAATTAATATACCGTGATAATCTCTTTACATAACTAAAATGTAATCGTATATTATTTAAGTTTGAGGGTAATATGTATTATTATATCTTCATTCGTCTAGTTGACAAATTGGCTTATGGGAATGAGGGAATATTAAGATGGGTTATTATGGAAACTATAATATTCTCTTAGGGGGGTGATAATAGAGTATATTTATAATGACCAAGTATCCGTTCCTTACTCTTAGTAGCTAAATTACAGGTATAATTTAGTGGTAGATAATACTCTTTTTTATTGTATATAATATTTAAATCAATGGAATTAACCATAATATATGAGTTAATCTATTTAAATATTTTAGCAATAATCCGGAAAATAATGCATGTTTCTACCACTAAATTATATCTAGGATATAATTATACTATTGTTCTACATTATGTTATACCTCTAAAGCAAATCATAATATGCTAGTATTCATACTTACAATTAATGAATTGATAGGGCTTATTAATTGACGTAGCAAGAAGAAAAGAAAGAACAACCCTTGTTTCGGTGTTGTAAAACGAGTAAAATAGAGGTCGGCTCGTGTTTATAAATTCAACCGAAAAGTTAACACTCAATGTTTATTCTTATTCCAAACTTGCAAAACAAAGTTGCAGTACTCCTTTAAATAGCAACTAATCTACCCTAAAGAGTGTTTAAAGTGAATACAACTACTAAAACTATAATATATACTATATCTAAAGCTAAGGTATTAAGATAGAAATGTAACTTAAGATAAATACGTAACTTGCATGCCACATATTCTACTCCTTACGTTCTCCTTATACTACAATCTAACATTCTTCATCGATCCCCTCCACTTGAAGAAAACTCATCCTCAAGTTAGCTTGCACATCCGGATACAAAGGTTCTTTAGGAGAATGAAATGGATAGATGTCGACCATATTAAAGGTTTTAGAAGTTCCCATTATGTTTGGAAAATCCACAATATAGGCATTATCGTTGATCTTCTTCAGTATCCGGTAGGGCCATACTTTTTAGGTCGTAGTTTGTTATAAATCCCTACTAGAAACCTTTCTTTAACGTAAACACCATAACCCGATATCCTACTTCAAAAAATTGGATCCCGTGATGTTTATCACTCGTCGCCTTATATCTAGCGTTAGCTTTTTCTAACTTCTACTCGCACCTCGATCCGCACATCCCGCCACCGGTCGCCTAATTTTTCTACGACTATACTAACTCCCGGAACTCGGGGTAGCTTGATCAAATCAAGAGCATGTTATGGCAGACTTGGTATACACAATAAAAAAATGAGATTTTCCCATAAGCACTATGGACAACATTGTTGTAGGCAAACTCGCTTGTGCTAAAACTAAATCCCATTGGTTTGGTCTATCTCCACAAATACAATGAATCAAATTATCGAGGGTTCTCGTTTATCGATTCAATTTGCCCATCCGTTTACAGGTGAGATGTGCTCGCCGAACTTGAGTGAGGAGTCAAATAACTTCCATAAGGTCCTCCAAAAATGTCCAAGAAACTTGATGTCCCTATAAGAAGTAATGGTCTTGGGTACACAATGCGGACGCATAATTTCTTTGAAAAACAACTTAGCTATCCCATCGGCATCGCAGGTCTTCTTCCAAGGAATAAAATGTGCCATTTTTGAAAACCCGTCAACAACTATAGAAACTCGAATCCATACCTCTTTGTGTTCGACGCAACCCAAGTACAAAATCCATAGGGAGGTCTTCCCAAATGTTCTCTCGGAACAAGCAAAGGCATATATAACCTAGTATTTTGGGAATGCCCTTTGGCGGTTTGACACACATAGCACCTTTGCACAATTCTAGACACATCCCTCCTCAAGTGCGGCTAGTAAAACCTCTCTCATACCGCCGCAATGGTTTTTTCATGACCTAAGTGACAAGCAACACCTCTCTCATGCAGATCACGGATTAATTTTTCCCTTAAGGAAGTTTTTGGGATACGAGTTGATTTCCTCGCATGAGGAAACCATCATGAATGTGAAAATCTTCACCAAATTGATTGGTAATGCACTTCTCCCATAAACTACCAAAGTTGGCATCTGTTTCATACAAACTTTTCAACTCTTCAAATCCTATAATATCTTGCCTCACAACCATCATCAACTCGCATGTCTACTTAAGGCATCAACTACCTTATTTTGGACTCCTGCTTTGTGTTTTAAGTTGAAAGTGAATTTTTGTAGAAATTGGGACCACCCGGCATGCATGTCTCTCCCAACCCATTTTTGGCTATTTAAGTATTCTAGAGCATCATGGTCCGAATATAATACGAACGCCTTTCCAGCTAAGTAGTGCTCCCAATTCTTCAAGGAACGAACAACGGAGCGTAACTCCTTATCATACGTTGTTCATTTTCGTCGTGCTTCGCTAAGCTTTTCACTAAAATAAGCTACCGGCCTTTTCTTTTGTGACAGAACGGCTCCTATTCCCACCCCACTAGCATCACATTCAACTTCAAACAAAGCCTCAAAGTCCGGTAAGGCTAAAACTGGTGCGGTACATAACTTCTCTTTTAAAGTAACGAAACTAGTTGTAGCCTCCTCACTCCATTGGAATTTACCTTTCTTTAGACACTTCGTAATTGGAGCTACAATGCTACCGAAATTTCGAATAAACCTCCCGTAGAATGTTGCTAATCCATGAAAGCTCCTAACTTCGGTTATTGTTTTAGGGATAGGCCATTCTCTAATAGCTTGAATCTTTTGTTCATCTACTCGGATACCATCTCGCTCCCACTATATAGCCTAGGAATAATAATCTATCCGTCATGAAGCTACACTTCTTTAAATTAATATATAATTTATTATCCTACGAGACTATTAAAACTTCTCACAAATGCAAAATATTCTCCTTTTCCGATCGACTATAAATTAGGATGTCATCAAAATAAACAACCACAAACTTTCCAATAAAGGGTTTTAGCACTTGGTTCATCATCCTCATAAAAGTGCTTAGAGCATTAGTCAAACCGAATGACATTACCAACCATTTGTAGAGCCCTTCCTTGGTTTTGAAAGCTATCTTCCATTCATCCCCAAGCCTCGATTCGAATCTAATGGTACCCACTTCGAAGATCAATCTTTGTAAACACCTTCGCACCGTGTAACATGTCAAGCATGTCATCCAAGTCTTGGAATTTGGAACTTGTATCCCACTCGTAATCTTGTTAATAGCTCTAGTATCAATATACATCCTCCAGCTCTCGTCTTTCTTTGGTGATAGTAGAGCCGATATAGCATATGGACTCAAGCTCTCTTGGATTTGCCCCTTTCGTAGTAATTCCTCTACCATCTCCCTCAAAATCTCACTCTCCTTTGGGCTCATACGGTAATGGGAAAGATTTGGTAAACTAGCCCCGGGAACTAAATCAATGTGGTGCTGAATGTCCCTCATAGGGGGTAAACCTACCGGTAACTCTTCTAGGGTAATCTCTTCAAACTCCTTTAATAATGTCTTGATAGCGTTTGGATATGCCACACCCTTTCTCTTCCCTTCACCTCGTTGACACTTGCTTTACAATCGGGACTTGAACCTACTTGGACTCTCTAACTACAGTTTCCATCTCCTCGCTCCGAATGATTCGGGGTAAAGAAAGTCCTTCCCTCCACTTTTGAAGTTTTGGTCTTAGCACTCCCTTTAATTGGCGTAGAGTAAATGTTTTTTGTTCTTTCTCCAACCTATATATATTTTTCCTCCCATCATGTTATGCGATAACATCAAGTCGCTGTGGTCTACCAAGTAACAAGTGGCATGCATCCATGTCCACTACATCAAAATATATCTCATCTCTATATTTTCCAATAGAAAAAGGTACCAAGCATCGTTCGACACCCGAATTTTTTTTCCTGCTATAATCCAACCAATTGAATAAGGATTAGGATGTTTCTCTAACTTCGGTCCCATCCTTTCCACTACATCCTTTCCTATGATATTTTCACAACTCGCCATTATCAATAATGACGTTAAATAGATTGTTACCGATAGTACACCTAGTCCGAAACAATTGATGTCGCCGAGTGTCATCCTTTAATTTTGGTGTCAGCATCATTCGTCTAACCACATAGTTTTGACATTCACCATCCTCCTTAAATTCGCCCTCATCTCCATTTGGTTCACAACATACTTCACCATCTTCCTCATCTCGCTCCACCACATGGATCGCCTTTATGAGGGGGTAGTCGTTAGACCTATGACCGGGTTGGTTGCACTTAAAACACTTACCCAAGATTGGCTTAGTATAAGGGTTCATGGTCCTCCGACCCTCTTTCACTTCGTGGCCTTTTGTTTTCCCGTTGTTTTCTCTTCCATAAGCCTTTCATGGCGTGTTGGGGAAATATTTATAGCTTTGTTCATGTCACTATAAGTTTTATAATTATCCCCACCGTAACTTCTACGAGAGTAATATGATCTCCCTTTTTCTTGCAACATTAGTTCAGCCTTTAGAGCCATATTTCGAGCCTAAAATAAAGTCCTTATTACTTGGACCCTTATTTTATCCCCGATGACTAGTTTTAAACCTTCCAAGTACCTAGCAACTTGTTGCCCTTCGATCTCCCTCAAGTCCTTCCTTTCGCCTAGCCTCATAAAGTCAAGCATTGTATTCATGTACGGTCTTCATGCCTTGATGGCATCTTTGGTACTCGCTGGAAAAGAATTTGTTCATAATCAAGGGAAGAAAGTCCTTCGTCAAGAGTTGTTTCATTCGGTACCAGTGTCTTGATTAGTGCCTTTCCCTCATAGCTCCTCCTAACTTGCAACCTTTCCCACCAAGCAAAAGCTCCTCCTTTTAACCTAGATGCAACTAGCTTCACCCTCCTTCCTTCAGAATGTCCATATATTCAAAGAACTTTTCTATATCAACAATCCAATCCATGAATTCTTCAATATTGAGATTTCCATTAAAATAAGGTATATCCACCTTCAACTTCGAAACCATTGTTTTCCCTACCTCCATAATTACGCCTCCCCTAATCAGCATGCCTCGGGATGGGTTCCTCAAAATATTCATCTTCATCCGAGTCATCATCATAGAATTATTGTCGACATCCATGGACACCGGGAGCGTGTCCGTTGATAGTTTTCCTACGAGTGACATCTTCTCCGGAGCGTGGTCTATCATCATTCCGAGCTTCCTATTGGCATCTATGCCTAGAGCATCTAGGCGATCCATAATTTCTTCAAAACAACCTTCTTAACACAAGAATCTATGATCCATTCGCTACTCTAAAGCCATCAACGCTACCCCAAAGTCCGGGATCTAAGCCCTCCGATCTTCACCCCGAGGACCGCCGTCTACCGTAATCGGGCACTTTCCATTAAAATACATGAGCAACCTCGCTCCGATACCAACCGACGCAAAGAATAAGGTAAGAAAGAACAACCCCCGTTTCAACGTTGTAAAATAGAGGTTGGCCTATGTTTATAAATTCAACCGAAAAGTTAACACTCAATGTTTATTCTTATTCCAAACTTGCAAAACAAAGTTGTAGTACTCATTTAAATAGCAACTAACCTACCCTAACGAGTGTTTCAAGTGAATACAACTACTAAAACCGTAACATATACTATATTTAAAGCTAAGGTATTAAGATAGAAACGTAACTTAAGATAAATACATAACTTGCATGCCATATATTCTACTCCTTACATTCTCCTTATACTACGATCTAACATTCTTCATCATTAATTATGTGAATATTGAGGGACGATTCATATACTAATCAAATATCGGATGGTCCCATTAATTGTTAATAGACCAATTGATGATAACTATATCTAAAATTATAGTTAATAATCTAGTGTTTTGAATTATTTAATCACCACTATAACAATATACTTAGAGGCTACAATAGCTCCCAAATTACCAATGCCACATTGTCATATATATACCATTTATAAGGCCTATTACAATATTTATTTGGGTGAAATAATATCTCTCTAGTATGGTATCAATAAAGGCAGATATTCACCCATATTAGGTCTTAATGACACCCTCTTTATTTTGGTAAAATAGCCCCAGTGAATAGGTACCTCACGTATTGGTCATCCTCTAATTATCCCTAATTGAGTTCTCAAATATTTGACAGGGCATACCTTAATATTAATAAGGGTTCTAATATATCTTATTGGTTGTTTAATAGGGTATATTATGTCATATATGGCATATTAGTATACTAGAGGGATTACAACCTATAGTCTATTAATTAGTGAGAGTCCCTTTCAATCCTATTATTCCAATGAAAAATTATTAACAACAATGCTCATTAAACGAGATTGGATATATGTTTCCCACTTCCTAACACATGATATTTAGTAGACTCTACCCTATATTCTTGTAATATCCCCAATTAAAAGGTCCCGTTCTTTGGAATATATTAACTCTATTTGATGTTCACAAGTTCTTCTTTATAGGGAGAGGGTGAAAGAGATAGAATAGGATTGAAAGGGTGAGAGGGAGTGGGGGAGAGAGAGGAAGATTTAGATGGAGAATATAGGAATTGACATCAATAACCAAATATACTTCTCTCTAGGTGGATATTTACCAATTTTATTGAAGAGGGGAGGAAAATTTATAACGGGGCCTTTTCTATTGTAAGGGGTTCCCAATAGAAATGGTTAATATGATCACCATGAATGGGTGAATAATATTATGATCATTGTTATAAGTGTTATAAAGCCGATAATGAAAAGGTCATCAACTTTTTTTAAGGATGGTCATACACAAGCTGATGGTTAGTTGATTCATGTGTTAGAATTAGGTTTTTTCTCATGCCTATCGCATGCCTATGAGATTCATATCATATGGAGAGAGTATATTTGGACTAATATAAAAAATACGGGCACTAACCAATTACTCTCACTAGAGGAAGGTAACTAATGTTTAGTCCAAATGGCCTATACATTTATAGTAAATTATACTAGTTCATATATTGTCCCGTGTTAAAATGCCTTTCCCAAATTATGGAACAATTATGTGACCTTATAAATGCATAATACCAAGGCAATATGTCCTTTAATTAGCTAGGATTATCATTGAACCTATAACCAATATAGGTTCTAGAATATTAATATAGCATTTTGGTTATATAGTCTATTCATGTTCCGTAATTCTTAGGCCTAAATAGTTACCAATATCCCTCTTTAAATATAATTCTATCTTTATCACTTATAATCTGTTTAACAAGTCACCCTCGACTGAGCTTTGTTGAAAGTTCTATCCTCTCTATAGTTGTTCAATAATATTCTGGCCCATACTAAGTCCTATTAGACTTAGTATAACCTTCTTAAGCAAAAGGGAAATTCCTATATGGAGTGAATCCTATAAGTAGGAGATATTTTGTCGAAGAGATTAAGGTACTCATTAATATTATGGATAACACTATAATACCTATTGGATATTCGGTCAATTAAATTCCTTTGAGGCCAATGATATCTAGTTTATTGATCCTACCCGCCCTTAATTATTAACTAGTATTATCATCTAACTAATGCCCTTATTAAATAGGTGTGAAATAACCATTACCAAGATTTGGGGTGGTTTATTGTTTGACATAATTAAATAATGATGTTTATTCAAACATCTAGTTGAGTAAATGGCCCAAATAACCTAATATAGATAACTAATTATGATGACTCATCTAAATTATGAACCCATTTATTAAAAGGTATTGGTTATCCTATTACATTTACCATTAAGATAAATGAATTTCTAGAATTGAGGAAAGATACGAATTAGGATAATAGTCAACTAATTATTAGAGTTTGCGGGAGTGAAAATAGTATACGGGGATTCAATTGCTCATAAGAAGGTATGACCTATTATATATGATAACAATCTACTCTCTTTGTATTATAATAGAGGATATTATGATGAATAGGATTACAACCTTATTATGAGACCAATTAAGCTCTTATCGAAGGGTATTAAATTCATAGTTGGATAATCCTATTTGTCAAAAGATGTACAAGTTAATCCCATATAAGATTAGCCTACGGTTAGGGATAAACTAATTGGGAGAGAATGTTTATAATGGACTATATCTAATTTAACAATATTATCCATGCTATAGTAGAAAAATACAAGTTCGCTAAGAGAGTACACTCGTTTTCATATTATATAATATTATTATTATTTAAGTGATGGGGTTCGAATATTAGAATGAGTTACTTACAACTCTAGGTTATGTAGATAATAGTATAAACCATAATTTGGTAAATTATACGGGTATGCTTATTGTGGATATAATATTATGAGTTTAATACCCTCCGAACAAGAGGTTAATTGGTAGAGTTAACAATTTAACTAGGCTTTTTGGGATAATATTGGTCCTAATCCATAGGGAGAGATGCGTTTATAGGTGGTTATATACAAGTTCAAATTGTGAACTAGAGAGTTGACATTAAATGTATATCAATAGTATTACTATTAACTCTATATCTCACCAAAGGGGGAGGGGGAACGTATTACTCTCCATGATATTACAGCCCACAATTTCTATGCATCATAATCTAGCTTCCTTTATTGTTCATATGGATATGATATGATAAGGGGAGACAATAGGCTATATTGTTGTATATAATAAAGGGTTTTCTAACAAGTAAACTAGAGATATTAGAGGGACCAATTACACATAATAATCAAAGGCGATAAACTTATATATAGTCAATTCATAATTATAGTTGGCTTATTATCTTGTAATGTCATGACTTTGTAATACATAAAAGAGGCATAGAAATATTTTAGTATGTTTAATATGCAATTTTCATACTTTAATTCACTCTAAACTCCATTATCCTATCTCGCCATCAAACATGAAAGACATATAGTCTTTGCCCCAACTGTTTCTATAGGACATTGATTGAATCTCTATATGTTATATACATGGAATTTTATCATTCATAAATATAGATGGTAATGGTGACTATTTCGTTTTGGCTATTAATATTAATACACTCATAAATGATAGGCTAAATGAGTGTGGGAAATCTTTTGAGCTCAAGATTGTTCCTCTCCCTAGATATTACAATCCTAAATGAAAGTACGTACTTGGGACTATCATACTCTTTAAATAATTATCTAAGATATATCCCGAAAGTGATATATCCCTTAAATTGATGGAGTAATAATTGCTAACACATTTGACAATAATGTAATAGACGCGATACTATAGACCCTATAGTTAAAATAGGAGACAATCTATAGATATGCCCTAACAACCTATACCAATCAAGTAAATTATAGCTAAGCAAGGGCTTATAATCGTAATACCAATGGGAATGGATAATATCCTTGGGAGTTACTATAGTAAGTTTTATAATAATTAGTAATTGTTTAAATATAGCTTGGTATAATATGTTAATACCAAGCTATATTTTGATAACATTTGTATACTATAACTATTATTCATTTCAATAACCCTCCCTTTTACCGATATAAACTATAAGCCTAAAAGGACCAACCTTAAACAGGGCCATTAATTGAATATTATCTCTAAATCTAACTTATCTTTAACATCTAGAGTCCCTTTGAAAATTGACTTCTCTCCTTATTCATATCTCTAAAGATATATTCATCCTTATGCCATTTTTAGTAATACTGGAGGATATTTATTACCATGTATAATAGGATTGTTCAATAACTTTACTTAACACTTGAGCTTGTTATTTGACCAAACTCAAATAACTCAATCATAGACTTTTAGTATAAGTCTATTAATACGGACTCCATGTGGACACACTACTTCATTTATAATACAATAGGACCAATTTAATATACTCTTATCTCCTTCATGGGAAGATAACTATCCCTCATGCTTTGGTAGATTTATAAAGTGGGTCCCATTAATAATATATTCCTTATATTGTAAAATATCATATGCTATAGCAATATAATCTTGGACTAAGGGAGTAGATTATAGGTTGCCTAAAAACATCCTATAGAGTTGTAGACATGGAATAACCTTATCAATAGAGTTAGCACCCGTATTTAATATTATATTATATGTTAATAGAGGACCAAATGATATTATGGGGACAATCTCATGATATGAAGTCATAGGGAGGCATAGACAAGTTGTTAACATAGGAAATATTTAAACAATATTGGTTGAATTTAACATATAATATTAGTGGTCCCTATGTTTGTCTAGTCCTATAATGGTTTAAATTTGATGTCCGACTATTTATTATCAAGGGAGATTAGTACCTATAATTGTGGTCACCCTTGATAAGGCTATATTGTCGAAATATAGAGGTAACCTTAATATATATGGCCATTATATACTCTAGGCTTATATTCCCCATCATGAGAATAAAGAAAGTCGGGGTTGTATTGATGGAAACCAAGGAGCCAAATGGGCTTGCAAGGTGGTGTCTCCAAAAAGAGGTCTAAGATGGTGAGTTTATAAATCCAAGATCCGATAGCACATTAAAGTTGGTCTAATGACATGGGCTAGGGTTAAGAAGCTTAAATGATGGAAACCATGAAGCTAAATGGACCGAGCAAGGTGGTGTCTCTAAGGAAGGTCCAAGATGGTGAGTTTACAAGTCTAAGATCCGAACCATTACACATTAAAGATGGTCCAGTGATGTGACCTAGGGCTAAGAAGCTCTCCATGGGCTGATTCAAGAGTGTTAGGCGGAATGCCCTTCCAAGGGTCCAAGGGAGCAATGTTGTGCCATCTCGAGAGAAGAGGGGGATTTAAGACTTGTCAATTTGATTCAAGTCTAAGATTGGACTTCTTAAAATATATTAGGCCTATTTTGTTACATCTAACTTAATTATAATTAGAACTAATTAATTAAGTTAGAATTGGGCTTAACATTTTAAACCCTATTATTTTCGTATTCTTTGAAGTCCATTAGGGTTTATTTATGTTCTTTTTAGATGGAAAGGACGTGTCTATCCTTTTAGGGTTAGGAGTGGTGTGCTTAGGCTATTTAAAGGCTAGTTTAGTTTTATTTTATACTAAAAAAAAAATTAAGATTTAATAAATTTGAGAGGATTTTTTTCCTTTGTTCTTTAAATAACTAAATTTGACTTATCAAGGATTACAAACCTTATGGCATCTCTAAACTTATCATCGTCCATAGGGTGTGGCATTCTTCACTCCATTGCATCATAGCTTTGGTTCTTGCCTCCTATAGGCAACGGGTCGGGTTTTGCTTATTATAACCTAATTGGGCATGTTCTTGGGGTTGTCTAGTGAAAAATATGTTTGGATCTCTTGTCTTTATATGTGGGGTTCACATCGGTTGGTATTAGAGTCTAGTTATGCAAAGTCGGGTTGGTTATCCATAGTCCTTATGTTTTTTATTTCGTGTCTATCTTGTTTTCATTGTTACGTCTTCCTTATTATTCTATCATAGCTTTTCTTATTTGAGTCTCGTGTTCCTATGCTCGATAAATTGAGTCTTATATATCAAAAAAAAAAATTTGCTTTGTAGTTAACTATGTTTTCAATATAAATCAGGTTATTTTTCATTTTCTTTTGTTCTAATTCTTGTCTTTGTAGTTAATTTCGTTTTAGTCCAAATAGAATTAGTTTTAATTAAAAAAAGAAAAGAAATGAAGTCTATTATGTTTTGTTTCTATCCCGTTGTGTCTCATTTGTTATTGTCTTGTTTAAATTCGATTCAAGTAAGTTCTAATGTCATTCTTAGTGTCTAAAAACTTAAAATTCTTATTTGAATTGGTTTGTCAATTTCTTATTCCAAATCTATCCGAAATCTAATCCTTGGAAAGTGAAGTTGTTGAGCCACTTGCGGTTGGTTAGTTCTTGTGTGATTTGGATTAATTTGTGAAAGAACCAAAAGAGTGAGTTAGAGTGGTAAAGGCTGAAAAGTGTGAGCATATTAAAAAAAAAGTCTAAAATAGAGCAAACACGAGTGTTGAGTGTCATCAATTTGAGTGAAACACGTGAGGGAATGTGTGTGAGGAATTTTATTACTAACGAATTTTGTGTACATTGTAAACATGTCAAAAAATAAAAATCCTAAGGGCGGTGATTGTTGATAATGATGTTTGTGATAAGTCATTGGTAATTATGCGCTCTTTAAGCACGTAAGTGGAGGCATGCGAGAGATAATATTTTTCATATCCGATGTCACATCATCAATAATAAGGTCTATCATTTGATAATAGATAGGGGTAGTTGTGTCAATGTTGCTAATCCCGAGTTAGTTGAAAAATTGAGTTTTCTCATAATTGAACATCCTAAACCATATACATTACAATGGGTAAATGAGTATGGAAAAGTCGA